ATGATGACGAGGAGGAGGAGTACGATGATGACGAGGAGGAGGAGTACGATGATGACGAGGAGGAGGAGTACGATGATGACGAGGAGGAGGAGTACGATGATGATGGAGACGAGGAGTATGATGATGATGGAAACGAGGAGGACGATGATGATGATGACGATGAGGAGTACGATGAAGAACCCAACCTCTCATCACTAGGCACGAAGGACTTCTTGGGTAACTTATTAAAAATGGGGTCGAACCATTTAATAGGTAAAGCTACAAATAAAGTGTCCAGTGTCATAGGGAAGAACTTCAACATAGACAAGCTATCCAAGAAAGCTAACAAACTGGGGGGAAAAATTAAAAAAGCATCTAAAGAGAGTTCTAAGAAATATAAGAAGGCAAAACAGGGGGTAAAGACATCTGTTACGAAGGCGAAATTGGCCTCAAAGGAGAGTGTGGATAAACTTAAAAAGGAAGCGAAAAATGGAGTCAAGAACCTAAAAGACATCGGAAAGAATGGCATTCGAAAACTTAAGGATTCAGCGAAAATGGCACGGAAGAGTCTCAAAAAGGAAGGGAAAAAATTCGTCGATAAAGCTGCGCATGTAGCGAAGGATGGGATTGATAAACTGAAGAAGGAAACGAAAAAGAGTATCAATAAGGGAAAAAAAAAGGTGAAACAGGTGGCAAAAAAAGGAATCCAAAAGGGAAAAAATGAAGTGAAAAAAGTGGCCAAAAAGGGCATCAATAAGGCGGAGAAAGTGGCACAGAAGGGCATCGATAAGGCAGGGAAAGTGGCACAGAAGGGCATCGATAAGGCAGGGAAAGTGGCCCAAGCAGGAGTAAATAAAGTGCAGAAGGGCATCGATAAGGCAGGGAAAGTGGCCCAAGCAGGAGTAAACAAAGTGCAGAAAGGCATCGATCAGGCGCAGGAAGCAGCCGAAGCAGGAGTAAATAAAGTGCAGAAGGGCATCGATAAGGCAGGGAAAGTGGCCCAAGCAGGAGTAAACAAAGTGCAGAAAGGCATCGATAAGGCGGCTCCAGGGGTGGCTCCAAAACAGAGTTATAAGGACCCCTCGGGGCAAAAAGCTTCGAAAAGCAAAACGTCCTTCTTAAGCGTATCAGGCGAATCAAGTGAGAATACCTTAAACAGGAAGAAAATAAAAAACGAAATAAAGAAAATTAATAAAGAATACAAAAAGTTGAGAGAGAGGGAAAATAAAGTAAAGGACCAGTTGAAAAATCCTTTGCCTTCTGACAAGAAAATAATTCAAGAATTCAATGATTTTGAAAAATCCAGTGAAGAGAAAAAGGAGTAGCTACAACTTAGCTTATTCTACAACTGCGCCCACTACACCTGCTGCACACTTCTTTATTTTTAACGTTGTAAGAACTGTGCACATTTTCCAAAAATGAACATGAGCAAGATTTTTGTGGCTTTTCCCATCTACAAAAATGGCTCGCTCCATGTCTGGTGCATGCGTAACTGTAACCGTTTTAAATGCGTTTCCTTCGCTGAGAGGTTGCGATTTTTGTTGTTTAAATTTGGCATTATTTGCTAATTTGTTTTTAACTATGGATTATGTCGTCCGTAGGTATGTCTGTATGTATTTTTTTTATTTATTTTTTTTTTGTTACGCGCCGTTTAAGCGGTTCGTTACGTAATTGATTGATTCGTTGATTGTTGAATGATTTGTTTTACAGTTTTTTCATTTCTATCTTATTTGCTAAACGAAGACTTTCATCTTTTTCTGACTGATTCTTATTTATCGCTAAGCTCTGCGAAACCTGCTTGTGTGTTCCTTGCGTCCATCTTTTTGATGATGGAGTGAATGTATGGACCGAAGTATGAGCGAAGAAGAGAGAAGTCGTTAAAATTTGTTTTGGCCCTGCGTCATTCGGCGTTGCGACTGAGATGGGGATGATGGAAAGGACGGAAAAACGGAAAAGATGAAACCGACAGAGAAGGTGGAAAACGAGCAAGTGGGGACCAATTCTTACCCATTTTAAAGAACATCCGCTTGCAAGGAGCAACGATGGTCTAACCTTTCGCGTTATGAGATGATCTAAATTTAAAACGGAAGGACTTGACACTGTAGTCGGTACAATATTCTAATTTTGAAACGTATGCTATTGTTCATTTGAGGGATTTATTTTTTCTGTAGTTTTTTTTTTTTTTGACCACCTGGAGTGGTGCAACAATTGAGGAGTCTTTTTTTCAACGCATTGTTCGAATTAAAAGATACTTTTGACCCTTTCGATGGAGTTTTTTTAAAAGTATAATATGTAAAGTTATCTATATTTGATTTTTTTTCATTAGCTTTTATGTTCCACTTATTTTGAACATTTTGGGTGAGAGAGCAGGTTCGGTGTGTGTAACTGCACGTCGTCTTGTAGTAGGGGCAATATGGTTATGTTGTATACTTGGCTAGCTAAATAAAAAAAAAAAAAAAAAAAAAAATTATGAACGTTAATAAGATAGGTAGCTGTTTTTATTATTATTTTTTTTTTAGCTAGCCGGAAGGTGGGAGAAACGCACAACGGTTTTGTAGCTTGTATTTTATAATTTAGCGGACTCCTGTGAGCTCAGATTTTTTCTGACATTCACACAAGTTTGTGCGTAAATACACGTCCTTAAGAGGGAAATAAGGAAAGACACACTCTTTGTCCATTTTTCAGTCATATAAATCAATTTCTCTATGGTAAATTGTCACAAAGGCGCTGCATCGTTTGTGCATTTTGAGAGAAGAGGTTTATATTCCTTTCTTAATTTTGTTTCCTAATTTTGTCTAGTTAGCTTTTGCAGTAAGAGACGTGTGTCTGACAAAGGGGGTGGCAGTTTTTTTTTTTTTTTGAAATGCTGATTCTATGTAGTGCTATGTAGTTTGATGTGTTTCCTTTTTCTTTTCTTTAAGTTGCTCTAATTTTATTTATTTTTTCTTTATTTCTTTTTTTCTCACTGCGTGTGGACATTTACATAACGGAAGGTGCATGAATTCCCCATTTTTTTGTCAATTCTTACAGAATGAACTTGTCCATATGTTGTTTTAAATGTATTTTGTTGATTTCTCTCTGCGTCGTAACGGCATATGGGAGCGCCGAAAGATGGGTAGCTAATGAAAATGCAGATGCTGTAGGTGAACGTGACGCGCCCCTATTGAGCACAACTGATGCTGATGATTTTGGGGGGAGGGTCAATAAGGCCCACCATATGGGAGATCTGAGAAGTGTGTATTTAATCAGGAAAGGGGTTGATCCAGGTATAAATGAACCGCCAGCGGAAGCATCCTTTTTAAGTGTGCGGAGTGCAGCCACGATGGGGGATGAAAACGAGGAAGATGATGAGGAGGAGGACAGTGGGAGTGATGACACGGATGACTCCGCTGCTGAGGAGGAAGAAGGTGAGGGAACGGTTAACCTAAGCATGCATGAACAAAACGGAGAACTCGAGTACGACGGGAACGATACGGAGGTGAACCAAATGGCCCTACTGAAAGATATAACTGATAAAGTTAAGCGAGAAGTAACTGAGGTGAACATGGATACAGTTAACCAAGTTGATGTCCCGAGCATTGCCGATCAGGAGAGAAAGATAAACGAATTTTACGAGTACGAAAATGAGGTATTAAAAAATATTCGCGAAAAGAAGAAAAATATTTACGCAATGATTAATGAAGATTTGGATGAGCTACTGAGGCCTGCCCAGAGGGAGTATATGATGGTGGCTAGAAGTATAAAAAGTAAGCTGTTGCATGAGTACGAGCAAATCCTTCGGGAGGAATTGTCCCAAGAGTAGGGGGTTACGTCCTCCTCTTGTGTGACACGCACTAGTATATGTGTCTAAACGTGCATGTGTCTACATGGATATGTCTCTACATGGGTATGTCTCTACATGGATATGCCTCTACATGGGTATGTCTCTACATGTGTATGCCTGAAGCTGTCTGATGCGTATGCCCTTGTTGGCCATTTCCATGTGGGCAGCGTTTGATGATTTGGCGGGGAAGTTATAACTACATTTTTCCCCCCTTAATTTTGCGCTGATTTTTTTTTCTTTATAATATGCCGAATGGCACATTATGTTAAGCTCAACTGATGGCAAACCTATGTGCAGCTGGGGTTGATACAAATTTTGCCTACGCGGTTTTCTTCATTTTTCCACGGGTTGATGTTGAACAAATCTTCGATCCAACTGGTGTTCATAACTTCGTTGTTTTCTGTAAAGGGCGAGGGGGAGAAAAAAAAAAAAAAAAAAAAAAAAAAATGCGTTGCAAAAATGAGCGGACCAAATGGCTACATGTAGCGGAATCTTAGAAGGGAAGAAAACATGTGGCTATTACTCATCGTTTGGTAGTGGTAATAAATTTCTGTAGAGAAGGAGAAGGGGGGGAGGTTGAATAAGATGCGGTAAAAATGAAAGAAGTGACCACTGGGGGGGTGGCTTAAAAAAGGGTAATATGTGCAGAAGACTGGTTACATTAGCCACGTACTTTCATACAAGGGTGTCCAAAGAAAAAAAAAAAAAAAAAAAAACAGACAGACGGACAAGCAGACAAACGAAGAAACTTACGTATTGAACAATCCGGTCCGGCGAAAAAATAATCATCCATATATTTTTTACACACACAAATAATCGTTGAGTAGTCGGAGCCATGGAGATCTTTAAAATAACAATCAGATTCGTTTTTACAGTAGGATAGAACTTCTTCGTCGTTGGTTACAGACCAGCATTCCTTGTAGCTGGAACAGACAACTGAGGAGGGGAGGGAAGAATGAGGAGTGAGGGTGCTCATTGTGGATTGGATTAGAGGCTACTGGGTGGGAACTTCAGGCTTACAACTCAGTTCGGAAAGAATAACACAGAATAAGAAGAGAAGGGTTTTCTTGAGCATATTTCTTTAGACAAGTGTGTGTGTGGAGAAACCTATCTGTTATTATGTATTTTTTTTTGGCAGGAGGAGAAGTGTCGGCACAGGCGCGGTAGTATGTGGGCATAACGTGTGCGATTTTGGCAAGGGGAGAAATGGTACATTTGGGGGGCCTCCTGAAAAAGCCAATTCGATCTTTTGGTTTGTGTAGGGGTGAGTGGAAGAATGAGTGAATAGGAGAATGGGTATGTTCGTCGGGGGAGAATAAATAAGCGCCTTACGGAGGTTGTAATAAACGAAAAAAGGTTAAAAAAAAAAATTTCGAAGAAAAAGAAAAAAAGGCTGGGTAATCCCGCCCTCTTTGTTCCAAATGGAACATTTTAATTTTCCGTTTTTTCAGGAGAAAATGATTGACCAACATTTTAAAAGCACTTGGTAAAAATTGCGTCGATATATTGCTTTTAAGGAAAGGAACGGAACGGAGCTGCAAATGATCTGCTCCTATTTCGTTGGTGTCCTGGGCAGAAAAAGCCTGCTTGCCCTGCCGTGTGGGAGGGACATCTCAGTGAGCAAATATTAAAAGAGAAAAAGCGACTGTACTGAAATTTTAAAATGTTGATACGCATAAATGGGTAAACGGTGAAGACAGAGAGTGTATATGGGAGTGTTGAACTGAATATACACAGGTTAGGAACCTGCTTCACGTTAAGTTAAAATTTGAGATTATTGAGTTACAAAAAGGGGGAGGATCTCCGGTGAGATGTACAAAGTGCGCCTGGTTTACTCTGCGTCTGTCTGTGTTTAACTCTCTCGCGGTGGTAGCACGGCGAGAGCTAATCACCCGTTTGGTGATCCTCATATTATGGGGGCATAGGTAAGCGGCTAATTGTGGGCCGTGTTTACGTGGCCACTAATGGGGGTCACACCTCGTCGAAATTTCGCACCATAGGAGAATCGTGCCGCATACCTCCATATCACCAAATAGGTGTACCATTACAGAAAAAAAGAAAAAAAAAAAAAAAAAAAAAAAAAAGTTATTTCTCTTTTACACCAGAGGGGACTAAAAGAACAGAGTGTTTGCCATGGTTCCTATGGGTGGGGGAGAAAAAAAAAACAAAAAAAATGAATAAAATGAATAAGTTGACAAAAATGACTAAAATGCAAGTGTACGAATGGGGTACCATCGTATGAGTGCGTGTTGCTAATTTTATGGAGAAGCAAGCGGGTTGCCCAAGGGCCTTACCGATGCAGGTGAGAATAGAATCATTCAGTAACGTCTCCACGGAGTTTTGGATTCTCTTCTTCGCATCTATCTTGCCGATATTCTCCAGAATAATTTCCTGATTGGTTTTCTTCATTTCTCCTCGTAAGCTTTTGTTGTACAGAGCTGTTAGCTTTTTAATGCTATCCAAATTTTCGTCTATATTTCTTTTCTGCTCATTGAAGTCAATTAGCTTTAAGGGGTTGGCCCAGACATCTTTGTGTAGATTTAAGAGCATATTTTTTTCTAACTCATTTTTTCTGTAATTAATGACTATGGAGTAGTAGTTTCTGTTGAGACCGTGTACTAGTGCTGTTAGGGTTGGCTTCGTTAAGTAGCCAATGTTTGATGTGGTCTGTCTAGGTTCTTGTCCGAGCATGAGCATATGTGGGTTTATTAATCGAAAGCAATCAATGACAACTTTCCCTTTGACAGATTGGATTGGATCTACGACGACTCCAATTGTTCTTGGATTTAATTGCTCAAAACTTTTTTGTGTGTTTACGTCTGTTCCGGAAAGCCAGCAGCCAAATCCAGGATGAGAGTGGTACCATCCAACGACCATTTCGTGTCTCCCCGTTTTTTTTAATTCCTCTAACATATTTGTTTGGTACACGGGATCCACTGCCTCCACACTGACACTGTTACCGGACTGCGGCATTGCAAAGACGTCGACAATTCGGATGGTATACTCGTCTACTATTTCGCCGAGCATCAGCCCCATCACTTCCATGGGGACTCCTGCCTGGGGGGGGAAGCAGTGAAGCGCTTAAGTGGTTAAGCCGTGAAGTGGTAAAGCGGTTAAGCGGTGAAATGGTAAAGCCGTAACGCGGTGAAGGTGAGTGGGCCCTCCACTTAGGCCGATACCACTTAGGGTTTTGCTAATGGGACACTCCAAGTGGGGCTTACTCGTCCATGTTTCAAAATCTTCAGCAGGGCGAGGGGGGAGATGTACACCTGCTCGCTGGTGTCCGCCAGCGCCTCATTGTTCATTCCATTACCATCCGAGAAGGAATAAAATAGCTCTCGAAGGGAGGAGGGAATTCCCGCCATTTATTTGGTAATGTTATGTTAGAGAGATAAGCTCGGATGAAGGATTTGTGTAATTGGCTCGCCCAGTGAGGAATCGTACAAGTGGGTATGCTATATAAACGCACTTAGCCTTTAGCACGTCGAAAGGATACAACACGTGGAGGAGATGCAACCCGTCAATATGAAGACCAACCGTGTGTATTATGTGCTGCGGAGGAAGGTGGCTCACTCGGAGATGGGAGATCCCCTGGGGTTGTGACTCTTCCACGGTGTAAGCTTGCTCACATGGGAGTACCTACGAATGGCGGATAATCCGTATGGGTGCACATATGGTTAGGCGGTGGCCTCTTGGCCTCTTCACTCGCTGATGATTCAGCGGGTGGCCTGCTGGCACGTCTCGCAAGGGGACCTATACATATATATATATATATGTATGTATACGTATGTGTATATGTATACCCTCGCTTTGTTCGCTCCGGTAATGGAAAAAATGAGGCACGATTCGGATGGCGGTGAGTTTATGCGTGCATTTTGTGACTCGTTGGCGGAGGGGCGCAGCTGGAGAAGCAGAAGGGGGGGGCAAAAAAAAAAAAAAAAAAAAACGCACAAAAGGCACAAGTTGTGGCAATTTCTGGTAAATTCTTTGCCAATTTTTGGTCAAATTTTGGTGAATTTTTCGGCTAACAGGCACGCAAAAACACACTGCACGGTATGATGCGGCGCGAGTGTTCCTCATTACATTTCTAACTCCTGCTGTGCGTATGCGTAACGTTTGAGGGGCGGAACACAGGTGAGGCTGGTTCGTATCAGCCCGGTTTAAAAATGCAATCCGTAAAGGGAAAAAATAAAAATAGGCAACACCACTCCCAGTTGCAGCATAAGCTATATTGTATCCTGCTAAAATGAAAAATTAGGAAAGGAGGAATTGCCAGTGGAAGTGCACTTTACAGGGAACGAGCTAACCGAGTGGTAATTCAAGTGCAGTTAACTGTGTAAAAATATTTTGTGCTGTTTGTTTACGCGTAGGAATATGCATGTGAGGAGCAACGCGTGAGTTATTTTCATTGAAGTGGGAATTTACTACGACCTTTGCTTCCCTTCGCGTGTTGGCAATACATATATTGGGGAGCGTCGGGATTGTGGTTTATAGCCGTGGTAAAAGTGACCCCCGTTCGCCCCCTGCAAAGTTGCACCAGCCGTTTGGCTCTTCAACATCTGTTTTCTCCAACCCAGTTGGAGATTTTTCTCAAAGATCCGTAATTATGCCTTACAAGTGTACACAACCGAAAACAGCGGGACGAAGAAGGGCACCACGGGTGAATCGATGTAGCGGGAAAGATTAGCATCAGAGGGGGGGAGAGAGACATTATCGTAAAGAGTCCGTGAGAAGGACGGAGGGAGCGAATTTTAAAATGCTTAAACCAAAAAAGATAAGTTTTAAAAAGTTATATATCAGTGAAAATTGCTTGTACGGGGAGGCGGGGACACGGGCCATGAATTGAAATGGGGACATGAGAGAAGGGAGGCACCCATATAAGGTTCGGTGGGTTAAGAGGGAGCAATCAACACGTATAGGTAGCCATACACACATGTGTAAGGTTTCACATGTGTACGTTTAGACAAACAGACAAAAGTGGCAAAGGAGGGATGGCAACGGACGCGTCCAGGGTCGCCCAAATAGGCCCAGCCGTAATACACACACGGGAAGAGGTACCAATTTGTTATTTTGGTTATGGGGGCTTCAAGTGTGGTGAAGTGAATTTAAAAGTGGGACTTTGACATTCCCATCTGTTAATCGCTCGGCTGTCAACTGGGCTTGGACAGTACTCCAGGGAGCGATGGGGTCACTCGTCGATGATGAAGTAGGTGCCTGCGGGGAGGGGGGGCAATCGTGTAGAGGGGTAATTACATACATAGGTATGTACGTATATGTATAGACGGCGGGAAGTGTGTTTTTATCTCCCATTCTTTTTCTTTCTTTTCTTTTCTGTTCTCTTTCTTTCTCTTCTCCTGTCCCCTCTTTATTTTCTGCTCGGCTGCGCCGCGACTCACCGTTGAGCTTCTGCTCCTTGTCCTTGACACTGTCGTACTTGTTTATCCTGGGACGGTAGTTGGTGGGGTCTCGCCTAAATGTGACGTCAATAATTTTGAGAAACTTGTTCATGCCGGCCACAAGGGTCTGGGGTGTATTGGCAACGGTGTTGATTCCGGCCTGTCCATCGAAGACGATGACGTGATCAGCCAAGTAGGTAGCCATAATGAAATCATGCTCCACGACAAAAGCTGTTTTGTTTGTATTAAGAATGAATCGCTTAATAATTTTGGAGACAATGATTCTTTGTTCGGAGTCTAAATAGGCAGAGGGTTCATCAATGAGGTAGATGTTGGTATTTTTCGCCAGGGTAATGATAATGGCAACTTTCTGTAACTCTCCCCCTGATAGGGTCAGGACTTGATTGTCGAGGATGGCTTCAATTTTTAGGGGCTTAATAATTTCATTATTAAAGTAGGGATCTGTGTAGAGCCCCTTTAGCTTCGACATGAGGAGCTGTCTCACAGTGCCGGTATACTTTGCCTGTATCTGTTGTGGTTTATAAGAAACGCTAAGTGATTCAAGAAAGCTGAGACTTTCTACGTTATCCGGTTTGATAAGCCCTGCAAAGAGACGTATGAAGGTACTTTTTCCACTTCCATTTTGGCCCAAGAGAACAAATATCTCCGATTCGGAGAAGATGCCTTTGTCGATGGTTAAGGTAAAACTATTTAGCGTTTTTTTAATAGTCGGATAGTTATAGAAATGGAGTCTCTTTTTGTCTTCATCTGTTACGTCCTGATCCGTGGCCAGCTTAAAATTTAGCGACTCTTCTCTTATTCGTAAGTTATCCGTTGGGACGAAGCCATCTAGGAAGACATTAATTCCTTCTCGAACGGAAAAGGGAGAGGTGACTACCCCGTATGCCCCTGCCTTTCCCCAGAGGCAGCAGACATAATCACTTAGATAATCCAAAATGGAAAGATCGTGTTCTACGACGATGATGTAATTATCATGCCGAACTAAGCTGTGGATAATTTTTGCCATCGATATGCGCTGCTTGATATCGAGATAACTGCTAGGCTCGTCAAACATGTATACATTTGTTGTCTGTCCGATGATTGATAAGAGTAAAGCAAATCGCTGCAACTCTCCTCCACTTAAATCTTCTACATTTCGATCTAGTAAGTGGTCTAACTCGAGAGCAGTCATATATTGATCCTTTTTGTTCAGCTTATCCTTCTTATTTATGATGTCTAGGATATTCCCTTTAATCTGTTTTGGGATCAAATCAACATTCTGTGGCTTTATAATTGGAGTCAGTTGCTCCTCCAACAGTTTTGTAAAAAATATTTGCAGCTCGTTCCCTCGGAAGAAGGATAAGATGTCTCTCCATTCCGGGGGATTATTGAACTTTCCCAAATTGGGCTTCAATTTAGACGACAAAATTTTTAGTGCAGTTGATTTTCCTATTCCATTCGTTCCTACGAGACCTAATATTTGGCCCAACTTTGGTATGGGTAATCTGTGGAGCTTAAACGTGTTAGGTCCGTACCTATGAACGACATCTTTGTTTATGTCCTTTGGCAGATTGATAATTGTGATGGCCGAGAAGGGGCACTTCTTCACACATATACCGCATCCAATGCAAAGTGTTTCACTTATGTAGGCTATCTTTGACGCCTGTTCCACTTCTATGCAGAACTTGCCCGTTTTGACTATTGGGCAATTTTTCTTGCACTCCAGGTGGCACTTCTTCGGCTTGCACTTGTCCGTGCTGACGATGGCGATTCGTAACTTGGACGCCTCCAGCTTGTTCTCCTTGTAGAGGTCCTCCTTGTTCTTCTTCTTCATCCTGGTGGCGAGGTTAGCCAAGTTAGCGAAGTCTGCGGCGTGATGGTCGCTCCTTTAGGAGGATGTCGTTCAACTTGGGAGAAAAGATGATAATCCACTTCACACGCGTACAGCTGGTTTGGCTTATATTTTGTGTTGTCCTCGAAGGTATGTGTTGGCGTCGCTCCCTTAAGAAAAATGTCGCTACGTGGTGTGTAACTGGGATGTCTTCACGATGCAGGGCGAGGTGCAAAATGTCCCAACGGTTAACCAGTGGAACGTTTTCTATCTTCCCTTCTGATGCTGCGTTATCTGCAAGGAATGAGCAATTCAATTTAAGAGGCGTGTGCCTCCACAGGAGGAACTGTTCTTCGAGGGAAATCCAACTTGGCGATCGTCTCACTCAATGTCTGAGAAGTTGAGCAGTTTATTCCCGCGTTGTTAGGGAGGGTGCCTCGTCTTATTTTTACATTTTTTCCTGCGTATATATTTCAGCACTGGATGGCGCTTCCGTCTGTTATTTGTGCGCCGGGCGAATGTGAAACGGGTGGAGAGACTCACGCATGTATTATATGACTATGCATACACGCACCTATGTATGTACTTATTACAGGCGCATATGTCGCGGTTGGGCAGAGTAAAACCGTCACGTGATGGGGCGCACTGACGTTTTGCTAAAAATACGCGCAAATTTTCCTGCGTGAAGAGGTGGGGAGGGTGCGGTTTCCCAAGCTGTAACGCGAACGGAGGGGCGCAGGAGCATAACCAGGTAGGGAAAGAAAGCGGAGGGGCACGCACCAGAAAGGAAAAAACGAAAAAGGGGAAGACGAAAAAAATGAAAATAGTGAAAAAAGGCGAAAAACGTGAAAATGCCAAAATGCCAAGTTATCCAAAACCATCTGACGCAAAAACGCGAAGAAATGAAACCAAAAATTGCTTAAGAAAAAACGCAAAATGCCTCCTTAATGAATCTTCAAAATTGGGGTGAAAAAAGGAAAGTCATATTTTTCCCCTCCTTGTGCGGAGAGAGGTGAAAACAGAAAAACGAAGAAGCAGAAAAGGGAAAAAAAGAGGAAAGGAAAAATAACAGCGCTTTACAAGGCGAAGGATTGCAATTTGTAGGTTTTTTTTTTCCGAGTATAAAAAATGGCCACCGATTTTGGCCTACGGAGGAGAGGAACGCAGTGAACGTTGCAGGCGCTGGAGCAGATGAATGCGCCCAGGGGAGACGTTCAGCTTTGGGGGGGGGGGGAGGAGATTTCTTTCTGAAGGAGCCACTAAATGTGCATACAAAATGATACATAAGAGAATATTATTTTACATGTTCGTTTGGCATTTTATTCACATTTGACGATGCTGGCTTGGGAGAGAAATTGGTCTGTGAGCTTTGCCCTTTTAAAAAAAGGGGGGGCCACAATGGTATAGTTGTTGTGTCGGAAATATACAAAGTTGGAGGGATGAAGCAAGGGCCTTCGCAGGAGGCAACGTGTTTGCGCGTGATAGGTGCAGTTCTGCACACAGAGGGGAAAGGTAGATGGTTGCGGGTTTCATGTAAGGAGACGATCGTCTGTAACATATGGACAAAACAAGTGGATCACCACGCATGCCGCTGAGGTTGGCATCGCCTTTCCCCCCCTGCGTCTCTTGAGGGAGTAAGAAGGGCTGACACGCCTAGGTAAGTGTAACACCCGCGGAAAACCCTACAGAGCGGTACAGGACGCTACAGATTGTAAAGCTTGAAAGTGGGAAAGTTGCAGAGTGGCAAAGTGGCATATACATGTGACCGAAATTGGGTGAGGGGAAAAATTCTCGCAGCAAGGATAGTTGCCTTCTGGGAATAATTTATGCCCAATCTTTTTCTCATTTTTGGGCGGCACCATTTGACTGTTTTGATTGAGCAATTTTGGGGGGTACGCGATTGAGCGTCGCCATAAAAGAGGGAAAAAAAAGAAGAAAAAAGAAAAAGGAGAAAACATGCAAAAGGGAAGAGGGAAACTACTTCCAACCTGTTAGGTGTGATGGACGAATTTGCCTTTATGTGCAATGCGGGGGGTACGCGCAACTGTTCATTCGCTGTATGCAAAAAGGGATTACGCTTTGAAGGTTCACCTGTATGTGTTTGCATATATATCTTTGCTTCAGAAAATGCATATATTCTTTGCTCTTTGATATGCGTCCCCACGCGGAACATTTCCCCTGCCGCGTCAGTACATTTACACCTTAACGTGAGGAGGCCAACCTGTCATTCTACGGTCAATCTCCTCATCTTCTCATTTTAGTGAATCATCCAGCTTTGGGAACAATGGAGGTGGAGTGGGCGTCGCGGATTTTATCCCAGCTTCTGATTAAGGAGAAGGTTAAGCGAAGAGTAGAAGAGGGGAAGACTTGGCACAAGAATTGCCAAGGGGCACGGCGGCGGAACAAAAATAGGGGGGAAAATCCCCGCTTGATTACTTCCCCGAAAAAATATGAAAGGATTAGCGGTTTTTTAGAAATTGGGAATAATGCCACAACGGGGAGGTGTAGCATACCACCACAGCGTCACACCGCTCCATTCTGTGTGCGCTTCTTTTTTTTTGCGATGAGCGGGAGGTCATAACATTTGGACAACTATGCACACATATGTTACTTTAACCATGTTAAGATGCTTCTTTTCCACCTCTCCCACCTTTACAGTGCTTGAAGGAGAAATACGTTTTCAATTTGCTAAAAAAATTTGGAGACGTGAACCACATAATTCAGCACGCGAATGAGCAGCTGGAGTCGCTCGGGTTTATCATAAATGTATGGCGCGGCCACGTGGGGTAGCGAAGAAGACGGGTCAACAGCTCTGCGTTCCCACGTCGATGCCTCTTTCCCCATCCAGCCACAGAAGAGAAGCCAAAGTGTGCATATGTATTTTTTACCTTTTTCCCATCCCCGCAGAACGAACTGATAAACGGAGAGGAATACTTCATAATCGGGTGCGAGAAACTGACAATCCCTAGGAAGAGCGGCCAAGCGGACATGATGTCCCCTGAGTCCACTCATCTTAACATTAAAGATGAACATCTCTTCAATTCTCTATTTAAGACGAACGAAATAAGTTTGTATTACTTAATTATTGATTACATAATCAGTAATAATCGGTACTTAAGTGTGGACAGGGGGGACGTAACTTATGAGTCCTTGTGTGTTGAGTTAAACATAAAAAATGCCAACGTGCAGAAGGCTATACGTAAGGTTTAAGGGGGCCAAGTTCCCCGAGTGATGATAAAACGGGGAAGGAAAAATGAATCCCCACACGGACACCATCTCTTGCCACGGAGACCCTCTTCCTAACACACAATGTTCATATGTTGCGAGTCCACAGACCGCCCCTGCAACGCTGATTCTATATACACATATTCATGCATGGGCGTCTCTTCTCGCCCCCCCTTCTATGCAGTTAACAAATTGGTGGCTCACAACTGGCTACGAAAGGAACAGGAAGAATTAGCCTTGGGGCTCCGTTTTTTTACGGTATGGATTATTTTAACGAGTGTCATGAGCATGCCATCTGCACGTATGCGCGTGTTGGTGAGTATACAACGGTACGCGCTCACGTTTATACAAAAAAAAGAATGAACAGGAAGGAATGTGGCATGTAGGTGAAGAGAATCAATCTCGAGATGTTCTCACCGAAGCAAATGCACATTCACGTTCACTTTCACTTGAAGATGCACTCCCACACACACGTGCGTAATTTTCCATTTTTCGTTAAGGATCTGATAAAGTACTTCCCTCTTACCAACTTGGACAAATGCTCACTCTGCAATAACGCGATGATTGTGGAGGTGGGTAACTGGCAGCTACAACGTTTCTACGCTGATACGATTTCCCATCTTTTCGCTCCACAGTGTGTGTCCCCTTCCTTGCAAACTTCATTCCTTGGATTATCCTCCTCCCTTTTGCAGAGCAGGCAATGCACCAACTGCTTATCTCTTTATCACATCCACTGTTTCAACGCTCTTGCGAACAAGCTGGCTCTCTGCTTCATCTGCAAGAATTCCCTCTAAGTGTGCGCGTTCATAATTGGCACTTCCAATGGGGGGCTATTCCCCGTTTTATTCTGCTTCGCGTCTTTCCCCCTTTTCTCTGATGGGAGAACCCCCTTCAAATGATTAATAGTCCGATAGCACACCATCCTTTAAGACGTGTATGTACACAGGGATGGTCATATTTATGTACCTCAAGTTAATTGACACCACCGACATTTTTTTTTGCTCATAAAAGTGGAACATTCCTTTTGTCGTCCTGCGCGAGGGATAAGAATATACAGTGCGGATGGACAAGGCGTGCGTATGTAAAAATACGCGCTGGGTTAGCCACGGAGGAATATCAACGTGGACAGCTTAAAGTGGAAATTTGAACGCGCACATCTCAACGTGGAAAATTCAGCGCGTGAATACCAACGCGTAGGTGGTTCTGTTCCCCTTACTCCCTTAGGTTGTCAAAAAGCTTATCCTTTCCTAAACTAAGATACCCGATGGGGACAGAGCTGATAACGTTTCGAGGGGGGAAGAGAGATGTGCATGCCGGGGGAGAATTCTGTGTGAGGGTCGTCCCCACATAAAGAGACACATCCAACATAACGGGACACATCGCACGTAACCACGTTAACGGTGGACCAATGCACTCGTCGAAAAGGCAAGGGGGTCATAAATCATTAATTACTGTGTCGATCCTTTATTCAGGTCGGTGTAGGTCCTCCTTATAACCTTGTCTACGCTTTCCGCAAATGTGTCTTCGTCTAATTGCAATGTCGTGAACGTTCTGAGAAGAGATACGCGGGGGAGAAAAAAAAGGGGGATCAAAGTGTGGGTAGATTTGAGCCAGAAAAAAGAAAAAAAAAAAAAAAAACAAATGACTAACATGATTAGCCACTTGCTTTTCGAAACTTACTTGTTGTTTTTCTTAATCTTAGAAATGATGTGGGGATATTTCTTGGTCCGTATGGCGGCATCAAAAATGAACAGATCATATTTACTTATCTGCTCGTTTAGCATGTCGTCTTTGTAGTAGATGCCTTCAAATTTGTCATACATAATGACCTAACAGTCGGGGGCGATGCATAAAAGTGAAGGAAATTTTTCTCACGCATGGTAGGAGAGAAAACATAAACAGTGCCTACAAAATGGTATATATTACACAGGTGTATGCTACTTGTGAGGGGTGCGCCCCCCTTCGGTGCTGCGTTCCGTGGCGTACCTTCTTCACCCTCTTGATTTTATTCTGTATAACCATGTTTCTCCACTTTTCGCTCTCATCGTTGACTAGGATGATCACGTCCATGTAGTAGGAGTGAATTAGGTTGCTGCGCGGGGTGGAGGCAAGAACGGGAAAACATACGTGGAGTGAAGTGAAGTAAGGTGAAGTGAAGCAAAGCAAAATAAAGCAAGACAGAAATGACATAAATAATACGTATGGTGAAGCGGGTTAGTAGCTTGCACGAGGTATCTCTGTTCGGCGGTTGACTAGCTAAATGGTCAAATTGGCCCTGAGGCAGAAAGCGCGTCTCAAGCAGATACCGCGATTTGGCTTCTTCAATACAGACGAAGTGTAAAAGTATGATTGGTCTGATGCTTCAAGGAGGCCGCTCCCCACTCGGGCATAAACTTACATGGGGAAATTGTACGCCTTCCCTACGTTGTAGCTCGTGGAGAGGTCAAAATTGCAATACAACATATGCATGTCGTAGAGGAGATCTCTCACGTGTTCGTTAACTACTTTGTCGAATATAAAGTCATATGCTTTGGAGAATGTATTCCGTTCAATGATGTTATCAAATGTTTTGACATGAATAGGTACAGTTTCTTTGCTGTTAATTTTAATTTTTTGTGTTGCCTTCTTATTGTTATGATTTATCTTGGGTCCCTTTCCATTTAAAATTGCTTTTTGGAACTTGTCATATTTTTGGTTTGTCTTTACAAACCTTAGAAATTTTTTGTTTTCCTTTTTTTTTTTCTCCAGGATTTCTTTCTTTTTCGCCTTCGTCTTCATTTTGCGCGGTTAAGCGGGGTGGCGAAGTTGGCAGTGCGTTGAAGTTGCCGGTATTATGGGGGATCGGATTTGCTTTCCCCTTATAGATGCCCTGGGCGATGTGGTTTTTCCCGAGCCTCCACACGAGCCGAAACGAACAGAGATGAACAGTAGAAGCAAAGGATGGGTGCCTTTGTCCTTTCCTTTTTGTTTTCCTATCGTGTGATCAGATCACTAGAAATTTCCCTTGCGGTTAGCAGGACAGCCAAGTTTTATGTGATTCCGTCTGTTTACATGAAAACAATCGTTGGGGGGAGTGCAACTGGGACGGTGGTGACAAAGGGACAACGCACAAAACGAGATGACAAAAATGGTATTCGCAGGGATGCAAGTGGATTTACAAAAGATCCAGGGGAAATAAAAACAAAGGAGTTCAAAGAATTGGCTGAGGGATGAGTGTGAGAATCGTGCCGGCGTGGGGAGAGGAGTAGGACGTGCTGGAAGTAGAGAACATGTAGCAGCTGAGATAAGGCACGTGTGTCTGGATAAATATTCACGCGTGGTGTGTATGATAAGTTTTTACCTATTGGTAAAAACCGAGGACAGGGAGCAAACGACGTGACTGCTCGGGGGCACACGCAATCAGGCGGACAGTCGAGCAAACAAGCGATCGAGCGAGCGAAGAAACAAACGAATAGCAAACGAGTAGCAAACGAGTAGAAAACAAATTGCAAACGAGTAGCAAACAAATCGCAAACGAGTAGCAAACAAATCGCTAACAAATCGCAAATGAATGAGGGACAAACGCCGCGCGCAGCCGCGTATACCTGCATACACTTGCACGTGCGCACAAAAGGGGAGAGGTTCATAAACAGAAAAATCACGCGTGCAGGGGGAGGGGAAAGATTAGACGAACAATTATTAATTTGCAACAGGGGACATGTGTTACATCTGTAGCGACTTGCTCCTTCCGTCACTGGGAGTGCAAAAGCGTTTTTTTTCCACTCTCACCCCAGGGCGTTATATAATTGTAAATGCGCTAAGATGAGAAGCGGCAAATGCATCGAACTGTGATGAGTATGTAAAATATGCAAATAAAAAGGATATATATGTAACGTAAGTTTGTACAAATTTGAGGATGTATACTTATATGTAATTTTTTTTTCAAACTATGTCACACATAGATGGAAACAACCTTTTGGGGTGGGGTGTTTACACTCGTTAGTGCCATTCGCGAATACGTATAAAAAAAAAAAAAAAAAAGAAGGAAAAAGAAGTGGAATCGGGATGACACAAATATGAAGAAAAACAAAAGCAAGAGGGAAAAATAATGCAAATTTTCTACTTTTGTCATAAAGGAAAAAAGAAAATGTTTCATTTGTTAGTAAAAAAAAATATAGGAAAAAAAAAAAAAAACTTTTTAAAATGAAAAAAAAATTATTTAAAAAAAAAAAATGCGTAGGGTTACCATTTTAACCAATTTTGGACGCAAAAAAAGGTATACATTTCCAAGGGAGGAAAAAAATCCATTCGTGCTTTGCAAAAGCAGAAGTGTAGGCACAACCCATGCGGCGATAAGAAGCACAAATGGCGACAATGTAAAGACAAAGTTAGAAAAAAAAGAAGATGATATAATTTTACACAAATCAACATGGTCATCCGCCCCCTCCCCATTAAGTGATTACCAGCAGTACAACACAAATGATCTCATCAAAGTTTTAAATTTATACATAAAATCCAAAAGTGACAATATTGAATTGTTGAGAAATGTTTCGATAAATTTGCTGCTGAATAAAGAAAAACTAAGATACGGGGAGATAGTTACATTATTAAAACAATTCTCCGTGATAAAATGCAAAAATTATTTTTTATTTTGTTATTTTAAAGATGTCCTCACCGAAAACATCCATTTAATTACTTGCGATGATTTAGTGGACATATATTTCTCCTTCACTAATTTGAATTATTTTCATCATAATTTTTTTTTCCTAATTGAGAAGAGAATATTTCACAACTTCCATCTTTTAAATTTAAAAAAATTAATTTGCTTGATACAATGCTTTAATAGAAAAAAAATTATCTCCAAAAATTATTTAACGATATTACTTTATAGCATATCAAAAAATATAAATGAATTCGACACTTTTCAGCTTTCTGTCCTTTTCGTTTTTTTTAAAAATTTTAAGATAAATAATAGCATCCTCATAAATTCATTAATTCATAATTTTAATCAACATGTGAATCTCAGCTCTGAATCGAAGCAGCTAGCCATTTTTTACAATTTTTTGTCTTACGTTGGTAAGAAGTGCCATAGGAATTATCACTATTTTGCAAAGGAGAAGGAACTCATCGGCTTTATAAGGAATTTTTCTTTGCGCTATGAGGACCAGTGGGAGTGGGGCCCAAATGGGCCCGGCAGAGCCATAGGGGGAGAGGGTTGCACAGGGGTAGACACCAACGGGCTCGACGACGGGGTGGGGGACGCGGTTGTCCACTCGGTTGCTGTTACCAATGGCGATGCCTCCACCGATTCAGGGGCAACCATAAAAAGAAGGCTTTCCATTTTGGAGAGTAATTTCCTCATTCAAAGCGACGAACTGCAAACCCTCAGGGAGCATACTAGGGCCCTAAAGCAGAATTCGTACAATGTCAATGTGGTGTACTCCATTAAGAACGCTTTAAAGAACGTGGAAGCGATAACGAGGAAGAAATTGAAAAGCATGCCGATTGAGTCCTTGTGCTTCATATCCTCTTCCGTAGCAAACATAGATAAAAACAAATTCCTCTTGGAAAAAGTCGCAGAGGAAGTTGGTAAGCAGTCGACCAAACTGACTCCCCTGCTGGTGAGTTTTCTGATGCTATCTTTTAGCAAAGCGGGTCACAAACATGGGAGTCTAATTTACTACTCGCTGCAATTTTTTTATAAATATCACAATTTTTTTAGTGTCAATGAGGTGGGACTGCTCTCTAAGGCGCTGCACAATTTTTCCCTTAAGGAGAACGAATTTGTGGACGTGCTGAATGGGTTTATGTTGAGCGCCATGGGTGATAGCAGCAGTGATAGCAACAGTGATAGCGGCACTAAGGAGTGCGGTGAGGGACGCGGCGGTAGCCACCCGCGTGGAGACCACTTCAATTACAATGCGGATGATGGGACGTCCGCTGGACAACAGGTGGAGAAGCTCTTTTTCGAAATCGAGAAGAGAATCGATAAAAGCATTGAGCAGATGAATTATGAAGATCAATTCACTAATTTGAGGAGCATCCATATAGAGCAGGAAGATAAGAGTTACAAGGACGCAAAGGAAAGGGCAGATGAGCGTGAAAATAAAAGGATGTACAGTGATTTTGTAAACTTTAGCTTTATTGATTATGAAAATATAAAAATGAACAATTATTATGCAAACAATTTGTACAACATAAAAATGGAGAGCAAGATTTATATAAATAATGTCATATACATTTTGGAGTACTATGCTTTCAACCTGGTGAATATTCCCGAAATTTTGGACCGTTTCTGTGACTTTTTTTTAAAAAGAAACATAAATTATATCCTCTACTCGAGAATATTTTACGCCTTTTATCTGCTGCAGTACAGAGGGAGTAAAGTCTATCAAATGATTGACAGATTTAATGAGTGCCAGCCTCTATACCAAGTGATGTACAAGGAGAGACACATGGAAAAGCTGTTGGGGTCGCTAATTTATTTTTATGAAAACAAAACGGAAGAGAATAAAATGGAGAGCATTTACTTTTACGTTCTGTCCAAGAGGTACTTTTCATTTATTTTTAATTTTTCAAAATATATTTTAACATTTTTGTTTATTAAGAATAGTAATTATGTGCTACACAAATTTTTGGTTGATATAGGGGAAATATCGTTGAGCATGGGCGATTACATTTATCTGCACAAACCAAATAGATTGTATTGAGGGGAAAAGAAGGTGGTCCATGGTGTTGAAGAAAGCACGTGAAGGCGTAAACGAGTGGTCACGTAGACACGTGGTAGTGTAAACGCGTGGTAATGTGCCATAAAACACTGTAAATATGCAGAACCGCCTAGTACGGTTTGCAATAATGTGTAAAAAGAAAAAAAAAGGGCAACAAAGTGTAAAAACTGCCTGAACAGTTCTATAAAAAAAAAAAAAAAGCAGAAAAAGGCAGAAACAGCCAAATAGGAGCAAAATTGCAATTTTTGCCTGAACTGTTCATATGAAAAAGAAGAACAAACGTGTTAGTATATACTGCCTGATTAGTTTATGAAAAAATTCAAAGCAGCACAGTCCGAAACATGGCAGAACAGAAGAGAACTTCTTAAAAAATAATATCACTACCGATGAGCAAAGCAGTGCTGCTCATATCTCTGTTGCGCCTAGCGAGCTACTCAACGATTTGCACAGTTTTTACTTATTTGTGACTTTTTCCTTAACATTAGGAAATTCGTCCGACCAGTTATGCTTATAACTGGGGGTGCAATATGCCTTTCATTCGCTTATTTGGGCTAGGTTCCCGGCAAATGTTGGTCACTTTTTTTTTTTTCTGGCAAACTCTGCTGGTTATGCCTTCTTTTGCATTTCGTTGTTCAAATTTTGCGTGAATTTCATGCCAATTCTCTGCGAAAAAACGGAAAACTTTTTAACGCAATTTAAAATGCAGTTGTTTTCATTGTTATCGAGTTCTTTGGACCTAAATGAAGTGATACACTCGTTGAAGCATCTTTCCACAATGGAGTTATATGTGCTCATGGTATCTTCATATTCCGCTTTGTTTATCTTCTTCATAATTTTCTCCCTATCGCTTTTGTTAAAGCTGCTTAAATCGAGGGACTTCTCCATTTTTTTTTCAGTTCTAATGTGTCTTGGTAATTATTTTTTGCAAAATGAAATATGCACATGTTAGTACGTGGTATAGGAAAGGCACGCCTATTCTGCGAATAAATATGTTTGCGGGAGTTTTTGTGTCCTTCGGCGCATCATCCTTTAGTCTGCTCATGTATGTTTATGTTTGGCATTATTGCTCGATGGGGTGACGCAGTGGGTTACTTTCTCGTAATGGGGAGGAGAAAAGGAGCAGACTACATAAAATCAGGCAGTAACACGGAAAGCGCAGCCTTGTCAATGGGCGAAGCTCAATAATGTTGTTACCCCCAATTAAAAGGTAAAAATGCAAAAGGGTGGATAAGCGTCCCTTACCAAAACGGAAAAGGGGGAGGTTCACGTGAAAGCCGTGAATATATTTGCATGGTATATGTTTATGCTCACGCGTACAGGTAAAATAAAAAGGGTGGCATAATATAGAGGGGTATTAATCCTTACTGCGAACGACAACAACGTCGATGTGGGAAGCAAAAGAATATTACTATCATATTTTTCCTTGCCAAATGAAACATTTTGAAGTTAATTTTTAACCTAATTTGTTGAGTTAGCTTCTTTCACGTTCCCCACTTTTACATAAAAAAAATTGCGTGTTCAGGGGATGATTAATTTTTTTTTTGTCAATGCTGCGCCAAACATAACAGTTTTTGTGGTCACAATTTACGCAGCGCCAGAAAGGTGCACAATATATATATTTATGTGCACGTAGTGAATACATATATAAGAAGGCTGCGCTGACTGGAAAAAATGAACTTACCACCATTTTGCATGGCATAGGTGGTAATAGTGCCCGAAGTGTGTCGTTGTACATGTTTTTTCATGCGCAAAAGTATGGAGGAGAAGGGTGTACCGTACAAGATGTATTAAGTCCTGTTATCCAAAATTGGATCATTGCTTTGTGGAAACTTTATCCGTTCTATTTTGTTCCATTTAGTTCCATTCTTACGACTACGCTGGAAGGCGGAGTTTCACGAGGGTTAAAAAACTGGAGTAATTTAATCATACAGTTTTATGACAGTTATTTGTTAAGAGAGAAATAAAAATGAGGAACTTAAAAAGGCTGCTAGGAATGGAAAATTGTGTGAGGGGAGGTGACAAATTGGAGTGGTGATGGGTTAGACAACGCGGGACAGAAAGTAAAACAGGCAAGCTGCATGGTAACGGCGTAATGGCGTAACGGCGAAGCGACGAAACAATATGCAGAAGAGTGACTTGCCCATGAAGAAACCCTCCTGCACAGCAAATGGCGGAGGGGGAAAATTACGCCATCCGGGCAAAGGGGCGCTAATTCACGTGTAGCCAAGAACGAACGATGGAGAAACGAGGGAATAAATGAAAAATATTTTTGAAAATTTTAAAAATTGAAAAAGATTAAACGCAGCTTAGGGGGCATGTGAACAGGGCACGGTTTTAAAAATGGTCAGCATGGAGGATGGACAGTTGGGCGGATACGCAGTTGGGCAGTGACGCAGTTGGGAAGTGACGCAGTTGGGAAGTGACGCAGTTGGGAAGTGACGCAGTTGGGAAGTGACGCAGTTGGGAAGTGACGCAGTTGGG